CGGGTTGTAATTTCGTAATCGATCATCGTTGGTGACCCAAGTAACCGATGATCGGTACAATCGGTTACTCGGTGGTTTGAATGCCTGCGTGTGCGTAACGTCGTGTGCATGTACGTGTGTGCATGTATGTGCTTGTTTATGCCCTCGTGTACTGTTTGTTTTACACTGTTTACTACTGTGTGTATAATACATCTATGTTAATAAAGGATAACTTGTATAGTAGCGATGATATCTCTGATTCTCCATGACTTTTCGAAAAAAAAAATTCGCAATTTTTTTATTTATTTTTCGATGAAAATTGATTATGGATTTTGATAACCAAGCGCTTGGTTCAAGCCACTGTTCAAACCGATGACGAGTATAATCGATGATCGTGACATCACTACTCAATTAAGTCATCAACGATACTGAATCGATTAATAAAAGCTCGATTGAAAACTCACTGATTGATAACTGTAGACACAATTCTGGTCGCTGGTTAACGAGTAGCGTAACTTGGAACAGTGTGGCGCACCTACCATGACGGATGTTTGTCGACGATACACATGTCAGTGTTGTAGAAGAGATCGAGTACGTTCGTTTCGCCAAAGTCAAGACTTCTCAAACGCCCACCTGGTGCAGCGTCGCACCGGACGACGTACACGCCCTCTGGATGTGCATCGAGCGAGGCGGGCGGCGCGCAGCGGATGCCTCAGTAAACGACTCTGGTCGATGACGCCACACGACTCCATCGCTGTGTGGCCACCTGGTGGCGACGACCGAGGTGAGCCTGGGGCGAGATCTGAAAAGAGTCTTACACGTATATATACGAAATTCATATTTATCTCGCGTTAAATGCAAGAAAATTAACTTACTATCGAAATTTTCGATCTCCCTTCGGGAGAATCTTCATCAGGATGTGCGACGTCACCATATGTCGCCAGCAGGGGACATCATCGTGACGTGCTGCACTCGAGTGGTGTAATTTTACACTGTATAGGTATTTTTCAGAGGTGTACGCTGGTGGTGACCATAGATCCTGATAAAAGAATCTATTGCAGCAGTGAGCAAAGAGCTCCAGTGGCGGCTCCAAGTTTAAAAAAATTAATTGTTCTACTAAAAGAGAATTGTCGTATTCATGAATGAAGGCTGTACATGATACTCAAAGTGACTCAAATACCATCTCCGCGATCTACATTTCAACATTTTCTGGGGAGAGAACTCACAGACCCCAACCTGTTTCTCACCTCTCATGAAATCCTGGATCCGCCACTGCCCCTCCCCCACCCCTAGGAATTTTGCTCAGCCTACAGCCCTAGTCATGTTGGTAACATTTAATAGAACACGGGATGCCCATAAATTTCCATACCTTGAGATTTAGACAAACAGGGATCTGCTAGTTAAAACAGTTGCTATAATTTTAAATGGCCTGCGATCACGCATGTACAAATCGTGACAATCCATGATCCGCATAAAGCTGGGTTTATCACTACTGATTTGTATGCTGGCAAATTAAATCGAAAAAATTTTCAGTTTATACAACCGACAATCGGCAGTGTAAACGTAAAAGTCGCGCGCCCAAACTAGTTAACAAACCAACTGGGTTGGGAGATTTGAACGCTATTATAGTTTTCCGCAACAGGTTGTTTGCGAATTGTAAGTTTTTAGCATTTGGCCACTCAAAACGAGGTGTGTCCCTCCACCAGGGGGGAAGCACCTTTCTGCTGTCGGCGCCACAGTGGCGCAAATTGATACATGCAAAAATGCGTATCCACGTTAGCCCGCGGAGCACACTGTGGGTCAACGCTTAACACGTTTGCCGACTCGTCGTCAATAACGTAAAAGCTTTAAACAACCGATTGAGAGGTTAGTAGAATGCAGTAAAACCTGTCGTCTCGACGATCTTTTCCATAGTGTAGACCCAGCTAAAGGCTATTGTAAACTGTAAAGGATATTAATTATTGTATTCGCCCAATGATTGTCCTTATTTAGCCTGCAAAGCTACGCCGTTAAAATTGCAAACATGTACTTCTACTTTTCCTTCTATACTGGACAGTCCATATATCGGTATAAAACGTCCAGGGCTAGAGCTAGCCATGGGTGTGACCTAGCTTGGGTAAAGCCAGGTAGTTAGCCTTTTTTAGCCCGAATGTGTCAGTGGGTGTGGGTGTCACAGCAGTTTTTTTTGCGCCCTCAGTGGTTCTTTTACGTCCCCATACGTAAGTTGGCGACGAGGCACGTAGGAGAAAACCAGCCCTAAAACTCATTCTAACGTTAATCCAGAGCTTATAAATCACCAGACCAAGACCAGACAATAATTATACACACATACACAGCCGTTGACAGCAGGTCTGGCTGATTTCAGTAGAACGAGTTGGGCCCAACAAACGGGAAAACAACATAAATAAAAGCAGTTAGGAATGTATATCAATCAAAATAAAAGCATTCAACGGAAATATACAGAATGATAGGCGATCAGGATTATCTTACGCGCGTATAGTAGTAACCTTTCAACGTCGCGAATAAATAAAGTCCCTGAATTTACCCAGCTTCTCGTAAAAACATTTTAACCATGGAGGCAGACATAATTGGACGATGATTAAAGGTCAAATACGACGTATCAGCGCCTGGTGAGATTTCTCGAAGAAAATACTTCATGTACTTCATTTCGAAAAAACCATGGGCTCATGATAGATTGCAGGCGAGAGAGAGAGAGAGAGAGAGAGATTTGAATGTATTATCAAATTTATCATATATACAAATCATAGATTTTATATCCGCCTGTAACAGACACGCCTACCTCGCTGTCCAATCCTAAATTCAAGAGCATGAGGAAGAATAGTATGGACCAGAGTGGCGCCACGGGCAGTCTCGCTAGTACGGTGGGGTAGGCAACGAACGCCAGCCCTGGACCTGCACAGACAGAACACAAACCATGAAGTTAGTAAGCTGGAGTGATAGCAAAGTGTGGCAATGTCGGCTGACCTAAACATTAATTTAGAGCCGTAGCTAAGGGTAGGGTAAGATTAGTGAGTGTGGCAGAGTCCGCCATAGGCAAATATAGATATGCATGATGGTTACCAAACAGCGGACTACCTACGGTCCACAGCCCGGAATAAACCCGCGCGAGGCGTTGTTTGATCCCCACCAAAGCAATATGAGCTATAGGCATAATTATAGATATATTGTGCTGCAATTAGATAATATTGCTATGTGAAATTTTTGCCAGTTGGATGCGATGGTAATGAATTAAACGTCTTCTTCTGATGAGATTGGTTCTGGATGTTTTGTTTGCCACAACTATGAAATGTCAGGTAAATTCGCTCGTAGAAACCCCTAATTACATTACCCTGCCTCCTACGGACTCTTCTGCATATAAATCAGATTGTCACACCGTACTAAAGAATATATATTGGAGCGGCGAGGTACCGAAAGAGAGAAGATTAATAAGCGGGTAAGATGAGAAAGAGAGAGAGGGGGGAAGGAGAGAAAGAGAGAGAGAAAAAGTTAGCGAGAAAGAGAGAGAGGGTGGGGAACGAGATAGAGAGAGAGAGAGAAAGCGAGTTAGCGAGAGAGAGAGAGAGAGAGAGGGGGGAACGAGATAGAGAGAAAGTTAGCGAAAGAGTGAGAGAAGGAATTAGAGAGGTGAAGAGACAGCTGAGAGGAGACACTAATATATATATATATATGAATGAACTGTGACGTCACGCACCACTGCTGGCAACCTCGCTCACTTCTTTGCCAAGGTCATGGGCCATGTGACCCAGAATGGAGAAGACGACGAAGCCAGAGAAGATGCTGACGACGAAATTAGCGAGTGCCAGCATCAGTGTATCGCGTAGACAGTTGTTCCTGAAGCGATTGTAACTAGCCAGCGCTAGGATACTGCCGAAGGCGACACCTAGCGAGAAGAATATTTGTCCTGCTGCGAACTGTTCAACCGATGATCGAGTATAATCGATGATCGTGACATCACTACACAATAGTCATCAACGATACTGAATCGATTAATAAAAGCTCGATTGAAAACTCACTGATTGATAACTGTACACAATTCTGGTCGCTGGTTAACGAGTAGCGTAACTTGGAACAGTGTGGCGCCACCTACCATGACGGACGTGTCGACGATACACATGTCAGTGTTGTAGAAGAGATCGAGCACGTTCGTTTCGCCAAAGTCAAGCTTCTCAAACGCCACCTGGTGCAGCGTCGCACCGACCGACGTGCACGCCCTCTGGATGGCATCGAGCGCGAGGCGGCGCGCACGGATGCCCTCAGTAACGACCTGGTCGATGACGCACACGACCTCCATCGCTGTGTGGCCACCTGGTGGCGACGACCGAAGGTGAGCCGGGTGCGAGATCTGAAACAGAGGCTTACACGTATATACGAAATTCATATTTATCTCGCGTTAAATCCAAGAAATTAACTTACTATCGAAAATTTTCGATCTCCCTTCGGGAAATCTTCATCAGGATGTGACGTCACCATAGGTGGCAGCAGGTGACATCATTGTGACGTGCTGCACTCGAGGTGGTGTAATTTTACATGTATAGGTATTTGTCAGAGGTGTACGCTGGTGGTGACCATTAGATCCTGATAAAAGAATCTATTGCAGCAGTGAGCAAAGAGCTCCAGTGGGCCTCCAAGTTTAAAAAAATTAATTGTTCTACTAAAAGAGAATTGTCGTATTCAGAATGAAGGCTGTACATGTACTCAAAAGTGCCTCAAATACCATCTCCCGCGATCTACATTTTCAAAATTTTCTGGGGGAGAACCCCACAGACCCCCCACCTGTTTCTCACCCTCTCCTTGAAATCATGGATCCGCCACTGCCCCCCCCCCCACTAAGAATTTGCTCAGCCTACAGCCCTTGTCATGTTGGGTACCATTTAAGTAGAACACGGGATGCCCATAATATTTCCATACCTGAGATTTGGACGAACAGAGATCTGCTAGTTAAAACAGTTGCTATATATTAAATGGCTGCGACTCAGGTGTACGAAATCGTGACAAACCCATGATGCGTAAAGCTGGGTTTACAATACCGATTTTATGCTGGCAAATTAAATTGGACAAATTTCTCAGTTATACAACCGACAATCGGCAGTGTAAACGTAAAAGTCGCGCACCCAACTCGTTAACAACAACTGGTTGGGAGATTTGAACGTATTATATTTTCCCAACTCGGTGTTTGCGAATTGTAAGTTTTTAGCATTCGACCACTCAAAACGAGGTGTGTCCATCCACCCAGGGGGAGAGCACGTTTCTGCTGTCGGCGCCACGGTGGCGCACATCGATACATGCAAAAATGCGTATCCACGTAGCCCCGGGCGCACACTGTGGGTCAAACGTTAACACATTTGCCGACTCGTCGTCAATAACGTAAAAGCTTTGAACAACTGATTGAGGTTAGTAGAATGCAGTAAAACCTGTCGTCTCGACCATTTTTCCATAGTGTAGACCCAGCTAAAGGCTGCGTAAACTGTAAAGGATATTAATTATTGTATTCGTATTGATGTCCTTATTTAGCCTACAAAGCTACCCGTTAAAATTGCAAACATGTACTTCTACTTCTACTTCTATACTGGACAGTCCGTAAGGAATAAACGTCCAGGGCTATAGCTAGCCATGGGGTGTGACCTAGCTTGGGTAAAGCCAGGTAGTTGGCCTTTTTTAGCCGAATGTGTCAGTGGGTGTGGGTGGTCACAGCGAGTTTTTTTGCGCCCTCAGTGTACGTATGGCGACGAGGCACGTAGGAGGAAAACCAGCCCTAAAAACTCATTCTAACGTTAATCCAGAGCTTATAAATCACCAGACGAAGACCAGACAATAACTATACACACATACACAGCCGTTGACACGGTCTGGCTGATTTCAGTAGAACGGAGTTGGGCCCCAACAAACGGGGAAAACAAACATAAATAAAAGCAGTTAGGAATGTATATCAATCAAAATAAAATCATTCAACGGAAATATACAGAATGATAGCGATCTGTATTATCTTACGCTGTATAGTAGTGACCTTTCAACGTCGAGAATAATAAACGTCCCTGAATTTACCCAGCTTCTCGTAAAAACATTTTAACCATGGAGGCAGACATATTGGACGATGATTAAAGGTCAAATACGACGGTACAGCCGCCTGGTGAGATTTCTCGAAGAATGACTTCATTGACTTCATTTCGAGAAAGACCATATGGGCTCGTGATACTGATAGATTGCAGGCCACTATTAAAAGCTCGACAGGATACTATGCTTATAAGAATAGAAAATCATGAGCTGAAAAATAGTATTTCCACCGTTTTCTGCCGAGTGGCGCTATAAAACGAGTTGAGTTTGACCTCAGCCCTGGTGAAGCGGCACCCTACAGGCTATGGCGCACTGCTGTTCATGCTCACAGGTAGGTTAGGTCTACTGATAGTGTTTTATCATATAAATCTATGCTAGGATCCCTCCTCTCCAGTTGGAATGCATAATTATCGCAAAATAGTCTTCTTCTCTGGAGATATTGCGCATGCGACAGCACAGTTTCAAGAGCATATTTCGGACTGATAAAAGCTGGCTAATATAGCTTGTTGAGGGAGAGAGGGGTGGGAGACAGAAAAAAGACGACAAGAGAGATATCTGAAGGTTGGTGAAATAAGTAGGATGCTGAGCGAGGGACACGGGAGGTAATGGGAGGGATGGACAGAGGATGAAGTAGGAGGTTTGCACCCTACAGGCTAGGGCTTTCTATTATTTATATACATAGGTCTACTGACAACGATTTATCACATAAATGTTTGCTGGGATACCTCCTCTCCAGTTTGAATGCATATCCGTAACGAAATACGATTCCTCTGGTGAGATATTGTGCATGCGCTAACACAATAACGTAGACAGATTGTGTACGGACTGATATAGGCAGCGGGCACCCTACAGGCTATGGCGCTCTACTGTTCATGAACACAGGTCTACTGGACGTGTTATATCATAATAGATCTATGCTAGGATACCTCCTCTCCAGTTTAAATGCATAATTTTCACAAATTCTTCTTCTCGGGAGATATTGGGCTTGCGTGAGCGCGTGTGCATGCGTGCACGTAAACGTGTGTGTACGTGTGCGTGAGCGTTCACGTCCGTGTGCGTGCACATGCGTACGTGTGCGTGTGTGCACGTGTGTGCGTACGTGCGCGTGTTTGCACATGTGTGCGTGCGTGTGTGCATGTGCACGTGCGTGTGTACATGTGCACGTGCGTGTATGCATGCGTGCATGTGTGTCTGTGTGCGTGCGTGTATGTGTGTTTGTGCGTGCGCGCACGCGTGTTACTGTTACCCGCACTCTCAACAGAGGGCGCCATCATGCAATCGTCCAGGTGAAACGCCGTCAGTGCACTTAACTATAGCGTCTCACGGCCTGCTAGAATCACATATCCTGTGGCTGCCATTAGGCTACAATCCTAGCGATGAACATTTGGCCATGACATGTGTGTGTGTTAAGGTGAGACCTATACCGTCTCTACGAGATGCAGATACAATGTCGCTATACCCAGGTGCGTGTAGCAGAGGCTTGGACCATCTCCCCGGGGGACATATCCACTACCGCTACCCGGTTATAGATTCACTTATGCGATCAAGCTGTAGAGTTAGCGAGTAATGCGAAGTTAGACATTGGTAGGGTGTTCATACCTCGTAGGGCCTCGCTTAAAAGAAGGATACTGTGGGTAAGATCCTGGGATCACCAACAAATAGATGCGACTAACAGGAACATAACATCAGGAGGAGCGTGGAAGGCTGATGAGAACGGCTAGTATCCCAGGAGTGCGGCCATGAACGCGCGGTTAGATCCAACAACATGGAGGATAGCGGGACGAGTTACCCGCCGAACAACTCTCAGGCAGGAGCAGAAAGATTCTCTCATTGACAAAAAAGAGAGAGAGAAACTCGCAGGGCCAATTTAAATAACTGAAATTAATAAGTTCTTGAAATAAACGCTACAATGTAACATGAGTATATTACTACCCAATGCCTATCAAACCTTCATACGTATACAATTCGGGTCTGTCATTTTTTCCAATTCCAACATTTTTATTCGTTGTATTGGTAGTGGCTCTTACAAAGATGAAGTGGTAGTGGTAGTGGTAGTGGTAGTGGTAGTGGTAGTGGTAGTGGTAGTGGTAGTGG